GTTCCTTAGAGAACCAATCATTTCAGTTGAAGAGGTTACATCAGCAGATTGATTTCTTAGGTGGAGTAATTTCAGTTTGAAAAAAAGTCCGGCAAGCATGCACACATATGTTTGCACACCTTATGTGTGCAACCTAGAATGTCCAAATTCACAGTCCAAGACTCACGTTTCAAGGCTCACATTTGTTTACTCTCAGTTCTTCATGAGCCGAGGGGTTTCTTGGTAGTTAAAAAACTCGAATTAAAATACGATAAGTTATGTTTTTATACGTCTCTGTCGCCGGCACCTAAAATCAATGACTTTTTTACTTTAAGGAGTTATTTCCTGTAAACATAGAGGTCCTTATGTAGTTTATTTCCTATTCGCCGTGACTCTCGTACCTGCCTCGTCTATCTCTTTTTACTTGTAGAACATTTCTTATCCCACACTATTCTTTTGACTTCACCCACCAAAAACTCAGAAAACTGTAAATAGTTTAAATATTTTTTTGAAATTTTCTTACTTTTGAGTACCACTATAGACGCATACTACTAGTGCACATACTAAAGAGAAACAGTCAGAGTTAGTTTGCCCAAGATGTGAACATAGATGTGCGCACATGTCGATAGAGCGTTCACACGCTCCAATTCGTGTAAGGCATTTGATGTCTTTAGCTCAGGATGCCTTACATGTAATCGAACACAATGTGCGCATTGCTCACAGTTTATCAACACACGCATTAAAATATTCGCAATACAACTTGAGCGTGTGGACCAGGATTTAACTAATTTTAAATTTATTTTTTTACAATTGCAATAAGCTCAATAACATGCATCTTTAACCAGAGCAAAGTTTGTCAAATGGTTGTTAAACTTTTTTGTATTAAACTAGAGTTAATTCATTTTAAAAACTGTTTAAAACAAACAAGGTCATTAATTATTTAGAAATCGATTGAGATGAACAATATTGTTCAATAATAATAAGGATTCAAGATATCAAATCCAAAGTAGAGTATGCTAATGACGTCTGAAACTGACACTTGTATTATGTCTGAGGCTTCAGTAATGAGCTCTGTGCTGTTAAGTGATATTGAAGTTGTTGTGGTGATTGCAACATCTAATTGAAACAAGATGAGATTGATATTAGTGTGTCGATATGGGTAAAAGAACTTAAGGTTTATGTTTCCACAAATGTATACAGTAGCAGTTTACGCAACGTTTAAGTAATAGTAGTTTACGCAACGATTGCGTTAAGATAGTATTAATGATACGAGTAGAGATTTAAGGTACGAGCCTTGGAGAGTGCCTTAAAAACTTCTACGTATGTCGTTAAGACTATTACCGCGAGTTACGTACACTACTTTACATACGATAGTGTTTAATTACTATCAATCACTACTCATAACTTCTAAAAGAGGTTATGTTTTTGTTTATATCCTCTCATTACCACGGACAGTGATGCAACAAATCATTGTACCAAACACTAATTGCACCACTGAACAATTAAATTGGTCTAAACAGCTGATTAGTTTCCGTTCGAAGCATTACAATTATACTTATCTCTCAATCCTTGAACCTCATTGGTCCGTTACCTGTATTTTTAAGTAAAACAACAATGCTGTTAATTAAGTAAACAATGCTTTTAAGTTATATTTTTCAATTCTAAGAACTGAACTGAAACGGCTGGTTTAAAAAACGGTCTCAGGTAAAACGCTAATATTATTATTCGTCGTCTTTATTTCTAAATAGGGTTATGACAATGGTGGAATCCAAAATACTAGATATCTCAAGGAAATTTATTTTGTTACCCTTGACACAATTTTAATATTCAACTATATATATACAAATCTACTTACGTAGGTATGCCAGAAGGTGTCAAACGTAGTAATTTCCCATGCTGAGCATGTTTCGAGCCGACAGCTCATCATCAGCAGCATTATACATAATTTACATAAATCCAATCAGGCATGTCGGGTATTTACAAACACTTATGTAGACACAGAAGTAAACATCACATAATAGTTTTACACCTTCTGGTATGCTTACGTAAGGAGATCTCATATAATCATATTATTATTTTATTTATACAAAATAATTGAACTGAAACAAATCCTTACGTATACCTAACACGATATACTTTATAAATACAATTGAAAATGAAAAACAAATGTAATTTTGATCACAATAATAAAAAATTGTGATTTAGAGATGTTTTATAAATGAATAATACCATGACATGATATAACGTTGTAGCATAACCACTGCATGTTCTGCTATGTTGCGGTGAGTGGTCTGCTACAAGAGTTAGCGTTGAATCGTGAAAAATTAAATTGAAAATGAATGTTTTTACTCACATATTTTATAAGGGTAAAATATGGTTTTATCTCAAAGGCATGCTTTATAACCTTTAGATTTTACCACGAATATTTTAATTATGAGCAAATATCGTGGCATATTTTTATTATGTAGCTAGGGTATTTTATTGAGTTTAGTAGTTGTTGAGATTATTCCGAAAGTAAAAGAATGAGCATCTAGTGAATGATTTTAAAATGCCTGTGCTAAATACCAACAGATCAGCAGTATATAAACAGTACTTGTATTAAACATACATCTCCACGAAAAGTCTAATTTTTTTTTAATTCATTTCTAATGAGATATCCTTAAAACCCATGATTTTCTTTTCAAAAATTATTCCAAACAAATCATCATAATTTATATGTTTACAAAAATTTTTGGGCATTTGTAAACAATAATCTGTGTTTCTTTTAACAGACTTCACCAGTCGATTAACGTATATAATTATAAAACATGTCTATCTACTCACTTATTTAGATTTGCGTCAACCTGTCTGTACAAGGTTTAAATATTATTTGTAATTGTAACGGCTCTAGGTTGTAGCTAACAACTTTGATTACAATATCAAAGGAATGAAGTGTTGTGATACATTTGAGTACTCTACAGAGATGAAGAGCGTCTCGCACACCAATGGGACTGTCCCTTGTGTGAATGATACTTACATCAATATTGTGTAAAGACACGCGTATCTCCAACAAACTTGCCACACGAATAAAAGTGATTCGTTTTTTATTCAACGAAGATCTTCACAGGATCAATCTCCTATCAGGATTAAGTGTCGTACCATTTCCAATTTACATTGTATATTTAACTGAAAAATTAAAATCATTTCTACATTCAAGTGAAATCCAACAGAATAAGGGATCGAATAGCTAAAACAGTAATGTTTGTTTATTCGAATCCCATGTGATTTTGTTCCAGGTAATACAAGACGCCATCAATCCCTCGCCAAGTCAACTGGAGAAACGATCTGACCCTTTGTGTATGTAGAGTAGCTGGAATTGATTTACTTAGAAATTGTACATTTTAGCTTTGTTATTCCACTAGTATTCTATTTTACTTATTATTATGTTGTTTTTTGTGTTGTTCGTTGTAGCATTACCAACTTTCTATTGTTTGATCAAGTTTGTAATGTTTAATAATTTAAAAAACGTAAAATGTCGGGACACAGTTGGTATTCTACCGTAGTGGCTTAGGTACGAAACCCGCCAAACATCAATGGCATTTTTCCCATCGATTTCTGACGTTACTAGGTGTTTTCAGAGTCATCTTAGGCCTATGTCCATAAATGAAGGGATATGGTACTTCATACTGTACATACTTGGTAGTTATTAAATGCTAATTGGTAGTTCCTTCCACCTAACTTACGCCAGGATGGATAAGTCCCTCGAGTAATAACCCGTATCACAAATATATACAGAGTATTTATAAAGGGGTGTCACAAACTTTAGGGGCTAATAGTACTAATCAATCAAAACCAAAAAATTCAGTTGAAAAAATTTCGTTTAGCCGCTAGCCACCATTTTGTTATATTTACAAAACAATTTATGTCTCAGGAATAATTAAAGCTACGAAAAGCAAGATTTGTACATAGATTAGTTGTGTCAAGAGGCAATTAAAAGAAATGATGTAATTTTATTTTACACTAGCAAGGCGAATTCCTAGAGAAAGTCAAGTAGTTGGTTACTTTTCGTTACCGCACTTACAAGATCATGACGTGCTTTACAATGATGTAGCTTTACAATGATGTAACGTTACAGGGATGTAACAGAGAAACTCCTCATTGTATAAAGAATATAGATTGACATAGGTATGATTGCCAAACAGTAATATCTGTTTATAACAGACAGAAATGCAGGGAAAGGTGTATCGGTTTACAGTCAAAGATAGAGTACTTCATTATATATTTTGCCCACTGGAGCTATTCAAATAAACATTCGAAGATTTATAAAAGATTTACATTCATAGCATCAACGTACAATATTTTTTCACCCTATCCCATTTCCTTAATAATTGATCGTCTTAAACATGGTTAAAAATATTATTAAACTATAAGCTAATCAATTCTCGGATTTAAAATCACTAAACTAATTATCTTAATTGAAATATGGAAATTCCAAACATCAAATGATTCTGAATGTTAACGTTACATATTTCGGTTTCTGTAATTACGCATTTTGTGACAAAGAAACTTTCATTGATAAAATTTGAGGAAATTTTTTAACAGAAGGTGTCGTTTAGAATGATATGTGAGTGAATATAACTGCAGTACCATCGCCATCAGACCATTGCACGGCTAATGGGCTCCATCATTCTCCAGCTTTTCTCTTTTGAATTTTATTGTACCAATTATGATTTTAATTTTATACAGAATTAACTTAGAATTTCTCATTTTTTTAAGTAAAAAGTAATTCGTATTATATTTATATTCGTCATAATCCGATCATTGTAAATGTATACTTTTTAGGTTAGGTTAAATGACATCCTTTTATTTATACATAAAAATAAGTGTTATAGTAACCACTTAGTAACTTTAATGGCATCTCTTTTGGTCCCCACTTTTTGTTCACCAAGATGATTTTACCGTGTTATACAACGTATGATATTTCTTAAAAATAAACAACTATATAAAAATATGTATGGTTTTCAATATGAAATTAAATCAAATTTAAAACTTTTACTTTTGTTTCCTACCTAAGTAAACTTTGAACAATAATGTTTAAAATGAAACTTGGTGTCGTCAACAATCAAATTAGCCAACCTCATGAGTTCCTCGCATTTCTTGAAGAATAGCCTTGGTCGGGGACTGGGAGGATAGCATACAGTGACAGCTATTTGAACGGTATCTATGATGTTGAGAACCTGGCAGTACATAAAACTGTGATTAATTTTACTATTATTTATCAGTCACTGGTTTTATAACTTAGTGTTTCAGTATCTTATTGATTCATAAATTGTTAGCGGATCGTCTAATTTTAGTTGTGATTGTAGATGGTACAAATTTATCATAGTAGTGCCATAAATAATTGAGAATATATTTGTTGTTCTATGTGTTAATTTGTAATTAAGTTGGCATTCCTTAAACGTCTTGAATCGTGGTTATTATTAATTTAGTCTGAAGAGCAAAGATACAGGTGGGGTCCTAACAATGCAATCATTCCAATCCTTCAATATATTTTGCTAATCTTTTTTAATATCTTTTTAAATGATCATACAAACTCACAGATCGTTTAAAATCTTAAAATTATTATGATAAATTACCTCTTCGTAACACTCTTTCTTTGGTCCGGTCAAATTTTGCACGTGAGTAGCTTTGGTCAGATCCAATAACTTACTTGTCACTTTTTTCTGCAGCCCTTCTTGTGCACGAGATATTTTAACCAACAAAATCTGAAAACATATCGAAAATAGACCATATTCCTGTTCAATAATCTTCTACTAACTTTTTACTTCCCTCAGCCATCCGTAGAGTTATTATTCAAAATAAATAAGTCGATAAAAGAACCTTGGCCTACTTACAAAACTTAATCAATAATAAAAAAAACAGTAATCAGTCGTATACCGTTCCACCATCAAAATAAGATAAATTATTTAAAAAGTGAATCGTTATCATTTTTTTTTTTTCAAAACGAAACTAAACATAAAGGCAATCAAAACTGAACCTACAAATAGTAAAAATATTTTAGTTTGATGTTCTTGCATACTGAAAAAATTACACAATGCACGCACGATTCTTGATTCACTACTAGCACACTTAGTTATGTATCGTTTGGATGCAAATGGTGCATGTTTTGTATGTTGACGGTCCATTAAAATATTTCTTTTTAAATCTTCATATAGGAACTGTATGTTGGTTTGGAACAACCATCAACGCCATTGATTGATTATGTGGTTTTCTAAAAGAACATAAAGTGCCAGTTATCACTAAACAATTAAACATACGATTCGTTCCTTGCATTATACAGGTTTAATAGTCCCTTAAATTGCATGTAAAACCCAAGAAGGACCATTTATCCGTGAATTTGGAATAATAATTTCAACGTATATTTTGAAATCTCAATCATTATTTATGTCTGGTAGGTCTTTGGGGTAAAACTATCGATTCAATTCGATTCTCTCATTTTAAGGGTAATTCTGTTGAATGAGATTTGCTAATCTTAACACAAATCCTTTATGCCAAAAGGTTTAATCATTCCAAGCCCATATTTCTAAGTTGATTATTTAGTGTTCATAATCAAGTTCATAACCAATGGTTTTTACAATTGACATTACCTCAAAATGTCTACTTATTTGATATTAGTTATGGTTAATAGATAATTTTTTTAAATCTAAAACGTAAAATAAAAATATATGTATGGAATACCCCTACTAGCAAACAAAAATAGCTTGTCCCAACTGATTCATAAATTAAATTTTTTTCTTGACATATTGTAATACAACTACAAGGCTTACAACTACTAAGCTTACAAGAGGTTCAATGTGGATGTGATGTCTTGTCAATTATTGTCAATAGGCTCGAACAAAAGTACTTTTCCTACAGTTACCTAACAATGTACATGTTCTCTCACTGATTTGAGAAAGCAAAGTGGCCAATTCGCTCATCAGTGAGACAATGTTAACATTGTCTCACTCTAATTACTTTGTCTCACTCCAGATTTGCAACGTGAAGGCACGAAATAGTGAGCACGTAACATGCAGGCAACGTCGTATGCGCGCGAAATACGTTGGCAGCACTGGCTGTAAATCAGCTGGTCAGCTGTTGTACTGTTGTATTTGTCACTTCACATTAAATGTTATATTAAAAGTTCACTTCTGTGTAAAAATAGGTTTTGTTTCTTCACCAATTTATTTGTTTTATGGTAACTGTAGGAAAAGTATAATGTGCAACTCGAGTTCAAAGTACAATTGCCTCACTCGAGAAACCATTCCTCACTCGCCTACGGCTCGTGAGTAAGGATTTCTCTCGAGTGAGTCAATTGCTCACTTTTCTCACTAGTTGCACAAATAACTATTGTCCTTCCAAGTAGGTAAATGTGATGTTAAAACACTTAAACCACATAAGCACAACTGCCTATTGGTTTGGTGGCCAGTGACAAAACTACTTATAAATTATTCAAACGCTAAAACCTCTTGTTGTTATCTGTTACGGGAAACTACGGTGTTTTATCATATGTTATATCGATTGAGTACTTTGAGCACGTTAAATAAACTTAAGTCAAACTTTGTGATATCAAAACTTTCGTTATCTTAAAATTGAATTTTAAAATTTTAAATATTTAATGTTTTTTAGTATATATATAATTGTAATTGACTCAAAATGCTTTAAAGGGCATTTTATTCCTAAATCGGTGTATTATGATTGTTTAACACCACAGTTCAAATACTCTTTATAGGAGCTACCCTTAGTTATATTATTTAATTCTAGGTTAAAATTTACACTTATACGGCTGTTTTTATAATATGTAAACTATATCTGCTGCCTGATCAGAGACCATGATTAGGCTTACATAACTTACAGAACTATGATTACATACTAAAAAATTAAAACATGTAATGTTCACAGTAAACGAATCATGATGTTGGAAAAAATAGTCTTTTCCTTATTTAAGTTTAAAAATATAAACACAGGGTACAACTTTTGAAACGAAATCACTATAACATAACGATTGTTATCTACATGACCTACTGCTTATGACCATGTAAACATTAACGCTGACATTTACCTAAAGCGAAATTTCATTTGGCGAAAGTTAATCAAGTAAACGGCTTTAGCCTGACCCCGGGGAAACTGAGATTTAGTGGTTCAACTTTTCCCTTACTTTGGTAACCTGGATATATTCTAATAAAGGAACTGTACTTTTTGTTTAAAAACTAAATACGATATAATACGATATATTGCGTATTAATACTATCTATTTCCCTTTAACGTTATACAACTAAACACAATGCGTTTTTGATTTGTTTTAATACGAATTAAATACACTTTACTACTTTGAAGACTATTTTAGCAATGTTTTCTCATCTCATACAAAGATATATTTCCAAAAGTAATGTAATCAGCAAGTGATGACAGAACTGGAAATTTGATCTATTCTTTAAGCAGTTAAAAATTTTTCTTTTCTGATTATGATAAGGGAGTTTTATACTAAAAAGGGTTATTTTCCACCAATGTTTAGAACACCTATTAAAATACTATATTTACTATGTATTTAGTTAGAAGTGCAGTGTTTATAAAGTATATTAAAAAAATTTTGAGCTATAAAGCATACGGGTCTGAACATTTGATGGAAATTATATTAATTTCGACAAAACATCCGTTTGGCTTTCGTTTTATAGAATTGCATAATTTATACAAATTGAGAAGGCTTATTTGTAGACTACCTGCATCAATTACTTTGCATAACTGTTTGTTTAGTTGTTTGCTGTTACATAACATTTCTAGAAAATAGCATTAGCCAACGCTCTGATACGTGTAATATTGATTTGAGTTGACTTACCAATCCACGTTATTACTTAACAATACTTAACTTTCAGCATTAAAAATAATTCTAAAAAATTACTCAAAAAGTCAATACAATAACTTAAGGTGTTATTTAGTTGAGGACTGGTAATTGAATAAGTTTTAAAAGAGATTTGTTGAGACTTTCAGTCGTAGATTGGCCTGATCCACAATAGACTAAGTCCATTTATGACGGGTTTGAATTTTCTGAATAAATCTTATTGTCATTTATATTAAAATAATATTCTACGTTTTTTGGAAATATCATTTGAGTACTTAGTTATCTAGGTATTTTGGTTAATTTGCTCGATCACGTTATAAGAATTAGAACTGACTACATATCTTATCAGGAAATCGTATACTTCTCGCTCTTCACTACTTATTACTGTATAAAAGGGGGTTTTTATAATAGAAAATTTCTGGTCACCAATTTTTTAACTTAAATTGTTACATTGCTTGGATGTAAAAAAATATGAATTATAATCAGCAAGTTTGGCAAGCCAGCAACAAAGCTTCATTACCTCAGTCAAATTGGTGGTTTCAAGTCACTTAAAATGAAGGCTTCGTTGTTGGACAGTTGGTAATTAATTAGAGACAAATTTACCCAAGTTGCTGTGGCTCAACCATCATAGTCAATGTCAGTTTCAATGCCAATAACGTTTTAATTGTCGTTATGAAAATGTTAATCTTTTTCACCAGAATTAATGTAGTGAAAAAATTCAAAATAAAGATAACATAAGTTTTAAATTGATTTATTAGTGTCAGGTTAGTTTTTATGTTTGGTAACTTTAAATTAGTAATTTGCACTTGAGTGAGTAAGTATGTTTTAATATTACTAGACGGATTTAACATATTTAATCTTCGCCAAGCTTTAGGGCGTTATACTAAGATCAAATTTGTATTACAAAAATATTTTTTAATAATTTTTTAATTCATTAACAGTCCTTTTTAGAGAAACTATGTCATAGTATGGTTAAAATCCATCGGATTTCAGGGCAATTAAGTAGATGAACCCATCTATGAACTCCATTGCACAGACCTCACTATGTTTCTGTCTCCAATTCACTGTTCGTAACTGCCCATTGTATATAATGGTTGGCTCATAATTCTCTTTTTTCCTTTAGCAAAAGGCCAGTGTAATTCAACTAGTGGTTCTATTCAAAAAGGAATTTAAATGTATACAAAGCAGATAACAGTAGAGCTCAAAATAAATGTTTCCTAAACACTACTTTTAACCTTTCACACTCATTCAATACACTGCTTGACGTTTACGACAACGTAAAACTGTTTTGTTAACAACCAATTAGTCAAGTTTGACGACTCTTAAATAATACTTAATGGTTGGCTTAAAACCTATTTAACAAAGGCATTATTAACTTTAAAGCCGTTTTAACAACTTGTTAGGTTTTTGGTCAATATAGCGTCCTTAGCATGCTAGATTCAGTAATCGTCCGTGTAAATAGTTTTTTTTTCTACGCATAGATTCCGTATATTATATATAAGAACTTGTGTGAACTGCACGATTAATCGTATACCAATTTATACTACATTTAGTTGGGTATGTTTGCCCATCATATTTGGTTTTAAATTGAAACATTATCCACTTTTTCAATACAGTATTGTAATTATCAATATTAAGCTAGTAGCTAAATACCTATCGAACTGCGTTCACTACGTTCAAATACATTTATGAGAGCTCGTTTAAATACTTTGGAAAACATCATAAGACACCATTGGATAAACAAGTGCATAGTAGCAGAATGTGTGGAGAGATAGCCAGAATCCTTTTGTAAACGTTTTATTTACGCGAGAATATCCAAACCAAATAAACAAGATTTTTTTTTATTTTACTCACATTTATTAAAATCCTTTCCTCTTCAAATTGAGTTTTTACTCTCAAGGTAGAGGAAATTAAAATTATAACTGCGTTGAGCTACTCATTAAAAAAACGTATCTAAATTTTTTTAAGGTTATTCAAAAGCACACCTAAATTGTCGTACAGAATCTACTTTGTAAGAAAATAGTATTTATCATGGCAGTTTGACAAAATAAGAAGTAGCATTGTCCTTGTCCCAACAGTTTAGTCTCTCTTTGAGTTTTGTACATTAATTGTCTGGTCTTCTTCATCATTACACAGAACCCTCACACTATCTAGAACTTTTATTTTAGGATAATTTAATTTCACTTTGTTAAATATAAAAACTCTCTACCCTTCTAAATTTTAGTTTTTTTTTTATTTGTACGATAAAAACTTG